GGGGTTGTGGGCGAAGGACGGGGACGCGGGGGTGACCGTGGTGGTGGAGGAGAAGGTCTCCGAGCTGTGGCGGCGGCGGCCTCCCTGTGGGTCCGCGCGGATGACCTTGGCCCCCCGGTGGGGGTCGGGGGGCTGGCTGGCCTGCAGGAAAGCTTCAAGCCCCGACACCTGGTCCATGAGGCTCAGCCGCTTCAGGCCTGCCGTGGGGCTGCTCACTTGGGCACCTTCCGGCTTTGGGGGGGCTGCAATGGGTTGTGGCGGGGTGGCCACCACACCAAAGGCCATCTCAGTGTAGTCACCGCTGTCACCAGCCTCTGAGGATGCCAAGGCAGAGGCAGTGGTGCTAGGGCCCTGGGAGGTGGCAGCGGCAGCACTGGGTGCTGAAGGCAGGCGGTACAGCTCCCCGAGCGCCGGAGGCGGGGGCTGCTGCTGCAGGGAAGAGGACAGAGAAGCCGATGGGCGAGGGGGTAGTGGCGGGTATGGGGAAGTGGCCTCAGGGGACGGGAGGGTATCCAAGAAGCCCACTGGGTCCCCACCACGGGCTCCCGGCTTGGGGGACTTGGGGGAGCTGAAGCCCAAGTTCATGTAGTCAGACAGAGGGGAGCGCTGCCTGCTGTCACCACTGGTGCCCGGTGTGCCCGAGCCCAGGGAGGAGGCCGGGCTGCTGACAGACAGCAGCGAGGAGGATGAGGCCGCAGAGGTCAGCAGTGGAGGGGCCGGCGGGGACAGGCGGGTGCCCGCCTCCCCGAAGTCGATGTTGATGTACTCGCCGGGGCTCTTGGGCTCCGGGGGCAGGGGGTACTCGTGCATGCTGGGCAGCGTCTGCAGGCCCTCCAGGGACAGACGCGTGGGGCGCACTGCCCGGCAGCGCTGGCCCACGAAGCCTTCGGGGCGCCCACCAGCAGTGCTACCTGGCCTCATGGGCGAAGGCGCTGCTGCAGCTGGTAGGTGACGAGGTTGGATGTGGCTGTCCCTCCCACTCCCAAAGGCGCTGGTCAACAGGGTGGGCCCTGGGGTGGCCACACACTCCAGTCTCTCCTCCTCCAGGATCCGGCCCACCGGGGAGCTCATGAGCACATACTGGTCACTGTCTGCACCCCCACAGAGATAAGGAGCCTTGCAGGATCGTGGCAGGGAGCTGTAGCAGTAGCCAGGGACACTTCTGAGCCCTTCCCCACCGCCCTGCAGGGCCGCAGAGAAGTCCGGCGAGGTGCCCACCGGGCCCGCCTCGCTAGGGGACATGTTGAGGTAGTCCCCGTTGGCTAGCAGCTTGGGGTCGGTGCTCTCTATGGACAGCTTGGAGCCACACCACATGCGCATGTACCCGCTGTCCTCAGGAGAGCTCTCCGCAGGTGACCCAGCCTTGTAGCTACCCACAGTCCCTGGGAAGGGCTTGACAGCTGCGGAGGGGGCAGCTGGCACCGCTGGGGCCGAGGGGGGCAGGGCCACAGCCAGGGCAGCCCTCGGATGCAGAATCTGCTTCGGGGCAGACACACTGGTAGGGCTCATGGGCATATAGTCGTCGCTGCCACTGCCCAGCAGGGCCGCGCCCGGGCTCATGGGCATGTAGCCAGCGTCCAGCCCCAGGTTGCTGTTGGAGCTCCGGTGTGAGCCAATCTCGATGTCGCCGTAGTCCTCTGGATAGGGGTGGTACGCCACTCTGGGGGAGGACGCGGGGCAGGGAGGGCACAGGCGGCCGGAGCTGCCCGAGAAGGTGGCCCGCATCAGCGTGTACTCATCCAGCGAGGCCGAAGACGGCTGAGGCGGCGGGCGCTGGCGTGCGGGAGTGGTCAGCGAGTAGGTACGCTTCCGCAGGCCCCGGTCCAAGTCCTGCGCAGCGTCCCCCGAGACCCTGCGATAGGGGCGGCCGCAGTGGCCCAAGGGCCTGTCCATGCTCATGTACCCGTACAGCTCACCCGCAGCGCCCTCCCGCGCCGGGGGCGTCTCTGTGATGGACTCGGGCGTGTTGCTGCGGTGGCTGCAAAAAGCACGCAGATCGCCTGGGCTAGACCCGTACTCGTCCAGAGACATGAAGCCCGGATCGCTCGGAGAGCCCGAGGCCGAGGCG